ATCCCTTCAAAAGAATACATTCCGTCAATTTTAAAGGGTTTTTTCGTTGTAGACCTCCCTGTCACAAGCCAACATCGACCTGGGAAACCGTTGCTACATATCGGCCTTCCTGGCGTAGGACCATCCGAAGAAGGACCGAGACTTTCGAGTCCAATCGTCAGCATGAAGAGGATCTGCAACGTGCTGTCAGGAGGGCCTGACTCGTCTACCACTCACACTCCTCTGTGACTCCTGCTTACGAACCATAACCAGCGTAGGCTGGGCCTTAACAGCTATCTCTGGCAAAGCCACCAAAAAAGGAGAAAGGAAATAAGGAGAGAGGATGTCGTTTCTGATACTCGGACACGAGCGGCTGACGACACTATATCAACGATTTGCGTTGTATTTTAAAACTGTACATCAGAACACAGTTTATATTTAAAATTTCCCCGAAAACCAAATGAATTATCTGAATGCTAGAAAAATTTAAAATAAAATCTAAAAAATAAAATTATTTTGTGTAAAAGATTTTCGCTGGTCTTGAAACAAAATTGCATAAAAATTACTACCAAAATATATCCAATATATATATATATATATATATATATATATATATATATCTATCTGTGTGTGTGTGTGTGTGTGTGTGTGTGTGTGAATATTTTAAAATTTACGTATTTCGGTAGCAGATTCTCTTTTAGGCATGTCTAATTGAAAAATTAGAAACATTATGTCTGCTTATTTTTATCATAATCCTTTCCTATTCACGAATATCTTTGCGCATATTACAATCAAATGAGGCAAGAAATGCACTATAACATTATGACTATAACTATTATAGTGCATTTCTTGCCTCATTTGACTGCAATATACGGAAAAATAATCAGGAATAGGAAAGCATTACGATAAATATAAGCAGACATAATGTTTGCAATTTACTCAATCAGACATGCCTATATATATATATATATATATATGTGTGTGTGTGTGTGTGTGTGTGTGTGTGTGTGTATGTATATTATTCTAATATATATATATACATATAGCCATCCACATACTGGCCTCTTTTCGCTGTATCTCAGACATCAGATTGCTTCAAGCCGAGATTGAAACCCGCCTGATTTGACATCAGTCAGAGATCCTACGCCTAAGCTACCGGCGTACGGTAGAGAAAGGGGAATTCTAACGTATTATATACGAATGTATACAAACGCCAGCAGCCAGAGTGCTAAATTCATTAATGAAGAGCGGTATGTTAATAGCGGCGACGGCTATAATTTTGAAATTACTTTTTTCTCAATAGTGCTTGATCGAAATGATGAGAGCGTAACATTATATATATATATATATATATATATATATATATATATATATATATATCGCACAGATAGTGCTAGTATTAATAAAACATATTATCCCTCAC